AAAAAGCAGCACTGTCAGGAGTGAATGGTCTGTGCTGTTCACAGCACAGGATATTCATTTCCACTGAGGCTCCTGCCTTTGGCACAGCTGGCACTCTGCCCCAGTTTTTAATGAGGGCTGTGGCACCTGAGTCCTGTCTTTAGACCTGTGAGTACATTCTCCTTCCTGCTCCCATCTGCTCTGATTTACCTTGCAGATGATGCTGAGCTGTATCTAGGTGACCCTCACCAGCCCTGTTGCTGGCTCAGCTTCCTGGCTTGGTCTCACACCTGCCTCATCACCACACACTTCCCCACGGATCTGGATCTTGGTGAAGCCTGGCTGCCTTTGCTGGCTCTGCCCTGCTCACCTCACTTGGGCACTGGGTTGTGGCTGGTGAAGTCCCTGCTTTGCTGGCCATGGGACCCATTCAGCTTCTGGCTCACTTTGCCTTAAATTCAGGTAAAAACTGTTACTTTTAAGCCATTTGATTTCCACAGGACCAAAACACAGGTGCACGAGGCAGAGGTCAATTGGAGGGTGCTCCAAACAGGGCCCTAAGACAAAGGGAGCGGCTGAGCTCCTTTTTCTTAAAGATTTGGTGGAGCCTTAAGTGCTGCAGGCCAAGTTAATCCATTTACCTCCCATATTCACCAGAGCAGCTCTCTGGACATTTGGTACCCATCCAGCCCAAAGTCCCCTTACTCCTCCTTCAGACAGGATCTTCAGAAATGCGTGGTGCACGCCCCGAAATCTGAAATCAAGATGAAACCTGTGGGTGGACAGCCCAGTGAAATCTTTGCATGGAATTTATACCTGTAAGGATCCATTTTTGGATCTGTCTTTGACTTTCATGCCACAATATTTTACCAGAGATACCGGTTGCCTTGCAAAGCAGTGATCTGGTCCCTAACAGCAGACAAGCCTTAGATCCCACACTGGGTTACAATACTGAATGTATGTGACACCAAATTATGGCAGCAGTTTGGCATGCAAAGAGCAGCATGTCCTGGTATTTGCAGAAGAGTCTCAAGCCCTGCTGTGTGCCAGCCTTCCTTGTGCCTGTGCATCCTGCACGAGCCATTTCACTCGTGCTTTCTTCCATCTTCAGAAAGTGTCCTTCCCTCCCCATGGTGCAGTGCTGGCATGGACGTGCTGCAGCACACAGGATGGGTTTGTGGTCCCTGGGACCAATAAATCAGAATAAAGAAGATGAGTACAAATGGAATAAGGAGGAGGTCTTGAATCCCTCCTCCTTTAACTGCCCAGAGCCATCGGGTGCACTCCCTGTAAAAGGGCACAGAACAGCTGGGGAGAAGGAGTGGCAGGAAACACAGAGAAACACACCCTGGGCTAAAGAGTGATCAGAAACAGGGGGAGAAACACCAGCTCTGAGAGGAACCAACCGTAATGGCTTTCCTTCCAACTTCCTTTTTCCCTCCATCTGCATCTGCACCTTCACCAGATCAGTTGGGCTGGCAAAAAACTGTCCAATGGCACCTGCAGATACACCTCCAACCACAGCTTTCCTGCCAAATGGAGAGAAATTGTGCTCCAGAATACACTGAAAATCCTCACAGGTCACAGTGTTTAAGCTGAAGAGTTCAGCAACACAACCCAGGTGGAACAAGTGTAAATGGTTGTTCCATACATTAACAGCCAAAGCAAAGGTAATAATTGTGGTGGCTGCAGGTTGTTAAAGTAGTCAATAATATTTCTGTCAATTTTCAAAAAGGGTTAAAACTTACCTGAGGAAAAAAAAGCTAAACAAGGTTACATTTTGCTCTTTGCTTAAGGTTTAAAAGCAGGATGGCAAAGTACACAAGTAAAGGATGATGCTTCATGTATTATAACTAAATGCCCACCTAAAATTCCAAACTTCTTGCTGATATATAAAACTTTTCTTACTCTCCCACTGCTACTAGATGAACTGTGTTAATTTATGGGTCTGTTTATTTTAGTAAAATCAGAAATTTCAGTATTATCCATAGGTCCCCCTTCCTGTAGCATTGGGCATGACAAGTATTTTGCAGTAGATTTTATCAATCCCATTCTAAAGCCAGATACATTTTTGACCTAAGATAGGGCTGTAGGTCTCCTACAGTAAGGACAATCCCCAAGCAAGCAATAAATATGCATGAATATGCAACATTACCAGAGAGGAAAGCTTTCACCCTCTGCCCTTCCAAGCACAGAGTCACGGAGATGTTCATAAGTAACCATCCGGACACCAGTGTATACTGTGGAAAACAAAAGCAGGAGACAGTTCTTGGGTCTGCATTTCTGGAGGTCAAAATGAGAGAGAGATCAAGACCTTGGTTTATGGCACTCCAGAGCTTGCCTGGGTCAGCTGGTTGCTGCTCTCATGTTTGTGATCTGAATGGGGAAAGTGAGGGGTTTGCCTGGTGTCAGAGGGAGAGCCAGCGTGTCTTAGCATTAAAAAATCTCTCTGGCTGAGCCACAGGTCTGCCAGGAGGCAGCACAGCTTTGCCTGCACCCTAAGGAGATGGGACTGCATTGCCTCCTTCTGGGCTCATGCCAAGCACAAAACCTCCACAAGTGCTTTTGAGGTTTGTTGTTGTCACCATATTTCCAACTAAACCACAGAAAGCTGTTACTTGTGGCAAACTGCTGATGCATTTCTTTTAAGCAATTGTATTTTTCCCTTGTGCTTCCAACCTCATCATTTTTCCCATCCTTTTCCTAATATGTTTCCACTTCCCCCACATATGAGACATTTATTCTTCTGAGAACTCTTAGTGTCTGGACTTCCTGAACAAGACCTTCATGCAAAGATGACAGAGAACTTATATTTTGTTTTCCCAGAAGCTGGAATAAGGCCATGAAGGACTGGAAAAGGGAAGGAAGAGATGCTATTGATCTGAAATCTTGTCTATTCCAAAGTGGGATTGCAGGGCTAGACTGAAAACACCACACAGATATATTTAAAGTACAAGAAAGCATTCCAAAAGGCTTGGCCACAGGATGCAGGACCCATCGTGTCCCATCACGAGCAGATATTCACCTATGTGGCGGTAGACGGCCGGCGTGGCTCCTTGCCAGAGCTTCCATATCCCCTCCTCCTGCGCGATTCCAGCCGCCGTGCGCAGCATCCCGCGGTACGGGACCGCCGGCCCGGCCGCAGCTTCACCTTGGACCTGCAGCCGGGTTTTCGTGAGATCCAGGGGAAATGTCACTGGGAACAAAGGGCCGGGAACACACGTGAATAGGAGTGCTGCTGCCCGGAGAGCTCCCGTGCCGGGAACAGCCTCACCACAACGCCCTGCCAGCGCCCGAGGGGCTGGGCAGGCACCAGCAGGGAGCAGGGGCTGTACCCAACAGGTTCCAGGAGAGACCCCTGGAGAAAAGGAGAATTCTCATCCAGGCCTGTTAAAAGTGGCGCTAGGCACAAGTAACTAAATGACATTCCTGTCATACACACTTCCTCCCATATTTAGTTTTGCAGATTTGTTGTGCAAATATGTGTACCTTCTGAGGGACCCAGGATTAAAAACCCCTTCTAGTTACTCCCCCTGAACACAGACCAGTCATATCTCTCAATTGATCATGTGGTCTTTCCAATTCTGTCCAGCCACTGTCTAGCACAGTGGCAGCACGTTATGGTCAGGAACAACTCCACAGAGGTCATCATAATGCTGACATACATTCAGGCTCAGCTACAAACTTATATATATATACAAACTTATATTGTAGAACATATATATCTGTCCTACAAACCACCCTAAAGCATGCTTGCTTTCATTATACAGGCATAGGAATAATGTCTAGCCTGTTATTTCTCTCACTGAAATAACTGGTGGCCAGTGAAGGAGATCCAAGGTGATCTCAGCTTCCCAGGGCAGTTCCTGAAACAGTACGGATACATATTTGTGCTCCTCATTTCAGTTCCAGGCCAGGAGTGCCTGGTGATGGACCTTCCCAGCCTGTGGCAAGGAAGGAGCAGGGCTTGTCTTTCTTTGATACCTCTGAGACACACCAGTGTCCTTCCAAAGCAGCACTCAGGTGCCAGGGGAAGGCACTCACTGCTCAAAGCCTCAGCAGGTTTACAGTCTATTTGTGCATTAAGTTTGGTATGTATGTTTAAAGATTAGCAAAGATTGAGAAGTTACAGATCCTTACAGAAATGTAAGTGACTTGCCTGTAAGAGCCTGTAGAAATTATAAAGAACATGCTGAAAAATATTCAAAATAAGTTACTTGGTCACAAAGCAGTGATGCACAGATGCCAGTGGGCTTCTATTCCATGTTTCACCAAACCATTTTCCAACTCCATTTTTATAAGCATCTCCACTGTGACCAGAAACTTAGGAGTTGATTTTTCTTTGATTAACCTTAATTGACTACGAAAAGGAAATTCCTGAAGGAACAAGGCCTTGCTAGTAACTTAGGCAACAGATCTGCCTACCTCTTCAGGCTTTCCCTGGAAACCCAGCCAGTGCAAAGCTTAAATTAGTGACAACTGCACTGAGGTAATGACTGCAGCCCTTCGGTCTCCGAGGCAAAGATTTCATCCTGGAAAACCCTCCCTCCAGCCACGGTCAAGTGGCATAAAACACTTCGATTATGGAGCAGCCACGACTAGCACAGTGAAATGCAGATTTGCTGGAGCAGAACACTGAGGAATGAGGCATCCGGGGACTGATGTTCCCCCTGCCCCCCGTAAGTTAATCTGACCCCCCTTCCCTCTCGGAAAACCACGGTGAGTTGTACCTAGTTCTGCCACAGCCGCTGCACAGGCTGACAGAGCGAATTTGCTGGCTCGGGGCCATCTCTCTGGAAGAGGTAAGCTGCTCTCTTCTCCTGCAGGTGACATCTATCAACTCACATGAACCGAGGGCACCCAGCCACCCTGCCCGGCTGTGTCCGCAGCAGGAGCGGGCCCTAGCGCAGGTCAGCTCGGGGTGCTTTAGGAGACAAGCTGCGGAAGGTCATGGTTCTCCAGCGCCAGCACCGGGAACTGCAGCAGCCCGAGCGGCTCCGCAGAGCTGCCAGGTCCTCCTGCAGTGACACAAGAGACTCCGGCGCAACAGGCTCCTGGGAAATGTAGTCTGTCACCAAGGCTGCTCTGTGCCTGGAAACCGGCGCTGCAGGTACAGACACACGCACGGATTTGTCCGTTATCTAGATTAAAAAGAGTAATTAAAGTTCTCATTAATGAGAGCGCAAGATTTAAGCGTAGGGTCTGTTTGCTTTGCGGGGTGCAGTCATTGGCAGCACTGCCTGGGCAGCCCCAAACTCTATTCCCGTGTCAAGCAGCTGCAGCCGGGAGGGATTAATTGATCCAGATCTGCTTTGGTAAGAGCTGCATTAGCAACAGCTACGTGCCGAGCTGGGGCTGCGGATTAGGCACGCAGCACTGCAGCTTGAACAAGGATCCCAGCAAACCTGGGATAGCAGAAATTGATCATTTCTCAGAGCTCTTAATTTTTCCTGGCTGAGTGCTGAAGTCCTGTTATGTGCCAGTCCTAATTTCTCCTAAATTATTGTAGAGCTTTTCATTTATCATTAAGGCTCAGCTGAATCCCTAAGTTAATCATAAACTGTGAAAAACGCCAATCACTTGTTTTTAAATTTTTTAAAGTTTAGTAGTAATAAAATGGTTATAAAAATAGTAATACAATTAGACTAATAACAATTTGACCAAATTGAATTAGGACAATATGAGACAATAGAGGCAAAGAGTTATGGCCGTCTGGGTACCTTTTTCTGGGCAGCAAGAGCCCAAAAAAGGACACCTGTTAACAATGGATTAACCCTTAAAAGCAATAGCCTGTTGCATATTCATACGCCTCATACATGATGCATAAATTCTATTCAAATACAGGATTCTGTCTGGTCATCATCAACTTCTTCCTCTGAATCTTAACAGCGCCTTCTAGGCGGGAAGAAGTTTGTTTCTTCTGATAAGGGGGCAATAAATTCTTTTTCTCTGAAAGATTTAGGTGTCCTGTGGCTGCTATCTGCGAGTCCTTTATTTAAAAAATGTATCCTACATAGCATGGTTTCTATTTTAACATTTTTTACAACCTAAAACTATATTTAACACACTACTTAAGAGAATTAATACAGCATAACTTTCTAACACAACACATATAATATTCATTTTAATATTTGCGAAAAGGCAATCATAAAATACATGCATTTTTCACATTAGCCATTAGTCAGTAATCCTCATGCTGATTTGAGGATTTTTTTGGTCACAGAAACTTATTCCAGAATACCTCTCCACACCTCTGACTGCCTAAAGCTTTAGTGTGTTGTCCTTGCCAAAATAATTCAGACAAATGAAGGGAGCATTGCAGGTGAAATTTTCCGTTGAAGTTAGATGAATCTCTCTCATTGGTCACCAGTAATTGGTATTAAATTGGATTCTTCTTGGGGTTAAAATTCATTAGAATTCATGGAGGGATAAAACAAACTCCTGAGAAAGCCGTGGCTAAAAATGGGGACAGGGGATATTGCAATCTAATGCAAACATTGCTGGCTGCATGGAAGGTATGAGTGGTTCAGAGCCTGTTTCTGGACAGTTCATGCCATCTGCTGTGGCACTTTGTGCCGCCCTCCACAGCTGTTCTGGGGGGCTTGGGTCAGTTTGTGCCACACTCTATCAGCCTGTGTACCATCAACTCGTGATGTGGGGTGGAGAGGATCTCTAGAGGTCACTTGCAGCCATCCTACAGTCCTGTCACAGCAGGGAGAACTTTGGAGTTACAGCAGGTTGCCCAAGGTCTGGTTTGGTCCCCTGAAAACCTCCAAGGAGGGTTTCACAACCATCCTTGAGCTCTACACCTCTTGGTCATTCTGTTTTCTCTATGATCATGCTGTAGGGACTGGGGAAACAAAAAAAATCCCTCCTTAAAGTAAACCTCACAGCACTGCAGCATCCTATGGAAGGAGCAGCTCTCCATGGTCATTTCTAGCCTGAAGAAATAGGTTCTTTTTTAAACCAGATGATTGGGGGATGGCTGTGAAGAGGAACATTCTCTTCCCACAGGACCTTTGAAATGAGTCTGACTAGAGGCGGATGCTTGCATGGACAGCTCTGTGATGTGTGGAGAAGAGAAGGGCCAGTACTCATGGAGATCCATCAAACACCTGGAGTTCCTGTATCCCTGAATCCTGAGAAGACAGCACCTATTCATTTATTTCAATTCTCAGTGAGATGGAGTTTTTTGGTTCCTGTTCCAAGCCAGTTTGACCAAAGGCTGCATATAGAGAGAGAGTGTGGACTTCAGATGGGGTGAAGGCCAGCAGTGGGGTCTGGGCCAGCTGTGTGCTGCTGGAGAAAGGCAGCCAGACTGCCCAGTGCCCCCACCAGTGCCTCTGTGTTAGTTCACTTTAAAAACCATTAAACATTAACCACTGCCCAACCTGAGGAAAGCTTGGCAGTGACTGCTACACATTCCTACTGGTTGTGTCCTCCTCACAACAGTGCCTTGTATCTCATGTCCTTCACCAAATCATGCCCTAAAAGTACAACCCAACAAAACAAAAAATGCCAAACCAAAAGACTTTAATGAATGTCTTCACAAAAGCTTGAGGAATTGTCTGACCTGTATACATAGATCAATTTAAACTCACTACTCAGTCAGTTAATGAAAATATACCATGCATAAAATGAAAATAGGTATTTTCTCCAATATTACAAGGCCTTTAGTTCTCTTATCACTTTACCCCTTTATAAGAAGAGAAATAATTTAATGGGTAAAATAAAATCAGTAAATAAACATATAAAGAGCTGTGACAGCTAAACACAGAAGTGTAGAAATATCACAGTTAACAGCGATTTATCTGTTTGTTGCAGACAGTTTGCAAAATGGAGAACACCTTAATTTTTACAGCTGACGTGTGAGCTTGTTCTTCTGCACCTACAATCAACATGTAACATCCCAAGGTATTTCAAAATGGCTGTTTAATGAAGAACATACACCTAATTTTCACAGCTCTTAACCTCCTACTATATCTATGTATATTATATATACTAATGTATATTTCTGCTGTGCTACTTTTACTGTACTGCCTGTCTGCACAGATATAAAGGTTCCTGTTTGTGCACCTCTTCCTGTATAGGAAGTGAGTTAAACTGTATTTGTATTTGTTTATGCCCACTGCCTCTTGCCCTTTCACTGGGCATCCTGAGAAGAGCCTGGCTCCATCCTCCTTGCACCCTCCCTTCAGGTGTTCATAGACACTGAGACGATCCCCTGAGCCTTCTCTTCTGCAGACTGAGCGGTCCCAGCTGTCTCAGCCTCTCCTCAAATGACAGATGCTCCAGCCCCTTTTTGGCACTTCACCCTCGGCAGAGGATCACCTCCCTCAATCTGCTGGCAGCACTTTCCCTGATGCAGCCCAGGGTGCTCAAGGTCCATCTCTGACTCGTGTTCAACCTGGTGTCCACCAGGACCCCAGATCTGCAAAGTTCCCATCCACCCAGGTGCCCCCTCAGCCTGTACTGGTGCATGATGTTGTTCCTACTCAGTGGCAGAACTTGCTATTTCCCTTTGCTGAACTTTATTTATTTATTTATTGTCAAGAAAAGCTGGACCAGGGGATCCTTGGTGTCCCTTCTGAACTGTCATTCTCTGATTTTGAGATAAGTCCCTCTCTGCCCATTTTTTATCCTGCTGAGGTCCCCCTGAGAGGCAGCACACTCATCTGGTCTGTCAGCAACTCCTCCTGGTTTTCTGTTCTCTTCAAAGCTGCTGAGGGTGTGTGGGGGTAGATGCTGACAGCACTTCCTAGGGGCTTTTTATATTTAATGCATTCTGTAAGTAATTTTGACGTGCCACTTTCACACACGCAAAGAAACTAATCTGACCTCTCTGAAACCTTGTCTTCTGACATGGCACAGATGTAATAGAGGTGGCCAGCAGGTTTTGATCTGTTAGTTCAACCTCAGAAGCATTTCTCTGCTCCTCAGACACTGGACACACATCCAGCCTTTAATTAGGTATTTCAGACGGGTGAGAGATCTCTTTCTTAAGGTTTCTGCTTCAGGTGATGCCTGCAGAAGTTTCTTGCCATCTATGACTTGCTGAAAGCGAAATGTCTGCAACTCACAGGCTCTCTGCTTTGTAATCTCAATATTGCATATTTTTTAAATTGAAGAAGGCTCTGCACTGCTTAGCCAGTGTCCCTGGCCGTGTCCCTGGCTGCCCGGTGGCCTTCCAGCAACCACTGCAAAGTCCAAGGCTTTGCCACAGCAATATCTAGGTTTTGCAACAGCACAGTTGGTCCTCATCCCAGAACGGATGAGAACTGGCTCTGCCTGTAACAGAACAAGGGCTGTGCCCCCTGCAGCTCAGGGCTTTCACGCTGTCCCCGCTGTCCCCGTGGCAGCGCAGGGCAGCTCAGGGAGGATGAGCTCGGAGCGCGGCCAGCGCGGCCATGCCGGGGCAGGCGGAGCAGCAGCCGGGGCCGGGCCGGGCGGCCGAGAGGCAAAATGGATCTCGCTGTGCTCTTGGCAGCGCTCCTGGGACTCCTCATTGTCAAGGCTCTTTTATTTCAGCTGAGAAACCCGAGCTCGCCTCCTTGCATCAGGAGCTGGATCCCTTGGTTCGGAGCTGCGTTTCAGTTCGGGAAAGCTCCTTTGGAGTTTATAGAGCGAGCCAGGAACGAGGTAAGGCCTGGTGCTCGTGGGTGCGTGCTCAGGGTGGCTGCCTGCAGGGGGAAAGGCGAGCAGAAACTCCTGCCTTCAGTTTTGCCCTTTCCTGACACCTTTTATAACGTCAGGAGCATTTAAATGGTGAAGAATCGGCTTAGTGCCACCAGCATTGGTGAGTTGTGGATCTGATCCAGGCACGGTCTCTGTGCTGTGATTATCCTGTTTGGACCTCTGCCGTTTTGCTTTTGCAGTCTGGCTGTGTGTTAATCTTGGTTTCAGATAATGTGGAAAGCTCTATGCCAAGTGCTGGGACCAGGAAACTACTTATTTGCATGCCTAAAATTAGGTGAGATTTTTGAGCACCAGCTCGAAAAAGTCCCTCAGCATTCAAGGAATACAGATGTGCTTGGCAGATCAAATTTTCTGTCCTAAAAATCTTAACTAAACATAGGGGTCAGGATTTACCCCTTGGACTTGAATTTCTTTTTCTGTGTCTGTCGGATAGAAAGAGGTAAAATTCTTAATTTCTAGATATTTAATAATAACTGATATAAACCCCAGTTTCCCACTTTCATTCAGGAATTATATTTCCCCCGCTACTACAGTGTCATCAACGTTGAGTGTTTCATGCTGAAGGATCCCACAGCCCCACTACTTGCAAAAACTAGCTAAAAATGAAACCACTGTTACATCCTGAAATTTGAAAAAAAGAGAAAACCCACATCAATAAATACTGGATACCATTACTTTTTCATTTTGAACTGCTTGATTTCATATTTGCATTTCTTTTGTATTGTTATAAACATGTGGTATTAAAGCAGAGGATTAAATCTGATCTTTGAGAACAAGAGCTGTCAATCTTGCATTAAAGCACATTAGGTGCATCATGGGGTAAGCTTAGAGGTATGATCTGGAGTTTCTTGGCTTCTCTGTGCTTGACAGGCCAATTTAAATCTTTTTATTACTGTGTCTTTCCTGTAGCTTTCATCTGTGCAAATGCACACTCATTGGCTCTGGGTTAAATAATTTTGGTGTTCATTTGGTGTTCATCATCATCCAGGATGATGCTGTGGCAGCTGCTGACGCATCTGCACACTCTAGGAACACCTGAAGGACTTTATAAACCTCTGGTTTTGTTGGGACAGAAACTAGAACAAGAAACATTCTCAATGGCTGAAAACTCAAAGCAAAGAAGGAAGAGAAGGCTTTCTTACACCTCTCCCTTTATTGTGTGTTTGCTGGTAGGGCTTCTCCTTTGACTTTTGGTCCAGCAGCTCCTTCTGACCTCTCCCTGTGGTCCCCCTGGGCCGAGGGCGATGTCTCCATCCCTCCCTCCCAGGTTGGCCACCTGCCTGCAGCACCATCACCTGGCAGTCTCCCTGCCTCTGAGGAAGGCCACTTGTTTGTTGTCCCCTTCCTCTCCTGAAAGCGTCCTCAGACACTGAAAGTCTCCCTCCCTTCCCACCTCCCACACTGGCACGCTGTGCTGAGGCCAGGGAAAATGTCTTTTCCTGCCTGCTCCCTTTGAAAGAGTAGGCACTGTTGGAGAGCACAGCCAAACCAAACCGGAGCTGCTGCCAAAGGGGTCATTAACAGGCACTACAGGGCTTGCAAAATCCATCTGCAATAATTCCAGGCTCCTTGATACTGCCAGAACAAGGTTAAGTGTCCTTAATATGAGCGAGCCACCCTCGTAAAAGGTGTTACAGACACAGGCTTTAGGCAGTGTGAAACCTCCTCGTCTCTGCTAGATCATTGTCCTCAGCAGAGACTCTTGCAATTCCTCCTCTGGATTAATCCTTCAGACTGCCAAAGTGACACTCATGTCTTTCTTAACCCCTTTCTTCCTTAATTCCTTTTGTGTCTGTCCTTCACTGTTTTTTCTCTCAAGCCCTGGGTAACACAGTAAAGTTCCACTGCTGCCAGCCTGCGCTTTGCTTGGAGTTTGCTGCTTCTATTTTCCTCCCACGGAAGAACACGTGGGCTGGAAGAATTGTCTCCTTTCCCCCTTGTGTCATCACTGGGACTAAGAAAAGAAAGTTCCCCTGCTCTTATAAAATATTTAATCTCTCATCTAATAAAAGATACCACCTCTTCCTCCTAAAGCTGCCTGGTGAGACAAGTTTTGTAGCAGTATGGAAAGGACAGGAAATAACCAGAACCACCATGCCCCATAAAATACAGGGTGATCTGCTTAATGAGGGGTTCAAAAAGTGGCTCCCCAGTTCTCCTGGGTAACATGATAAGAGTTAGTAAGAAATTTCAAATTCTTCTCATCAGTTTGCTGATTAAGCAAACAGGAAAAGTTCAGTTAAACCCAGGGGATTGTTGTGCACTGTTGTGGGGACCTGTGGGATCCATACATCCCTCTCAGAGACAGTGCTGAATTGGGACAAGGTGTTGTGTCCAGGACTGTTGGCCTTTCTGTGTGTGGCTGGGTGAGGGATGCCTCACTGGGTTACTCTGCAAGGGAGGGAAGCAGGCTGGAGAAGGCTTCTGGTGGAGCATTTCCATACTCAGTGTCCACAGCTGAGTCCCTGAAGGTCTGTGACTGGTCCCAGGTGTAGAAGACCAAAATGCTGCAGTCCCTGAGCTAGAGAGGGGACGTGGCATTGACCCTGTGTGTGTGCACACCCACGGGAGAGAGAGGAAACCCACCCAGTGCTCCCAGCAGAGCTCCTGGTGCAATGCAGCTGTCCCAGCTGAGAGTGGTTGCTCCCTGTCAGTGCCCCTGGGGAATATGACTATTTCCCTGATTTCCTTTGTGTCCGGTTTATCTCGGCTGTTTGAGGGGCCTGGAAAGGCCCGGGGTGGCCTTGGGGCAGCCCGCGTATCGAAGGACGAGAAGAGGCTTCAGTTCTTCTTTCGGTTTTTATGTTTATTAATTGTTTATCTAAAAGATGTTCTTTCAGCCGAACAGAGATCTGCTCAGCAGTCAGCCATGGGCACACTGTGCCGTCCCCCGGACCGCCACGTATCTTTATACCCATTGTTACGTGTACAATATTTATCATTTTTCCCCAATACCATCTATTCTTATAACTCGGTGCACTCTCAGTAATAACCAATCCAAAGGTGCCACCGTGGCCAAAGAAGATGGAGGAGAAGAGGAAGAAGGAGGAGGACAGGACACACCCCAATTCCTCCATCTTACTCCTCCAAACCCCCCTGTACATAAATCCTAAACCCTGTTTCTCACCCTCTAATTAGCTAATCTTTTCGCCATTCACCCCGGTGAAGTCCTCTTATCTTCATAAAGGTGTCGTCTCCCGTGTAGGGTCAAAGTCCTGCCACCAGACACTTCTGGCAACATTCCAGGACTCCCGGGCCCCCCAAGGGTGGTCTCGGAGGCCCGGCATCCCAGGACTCAGATCCTGAGATCCCACACCTTTGGGATTTTGGAGAACATAATTCTGAAGTTTTTATTTCTCTGGAGTGTTACTTTCTTCAGGCTTGAATCTGTATCTTACTATGGCACTGAAGTGTTTCTCAATCTTTGGAAAAAAATTAGCTTTCATGAGTGAAAGCAATAAATCCTAAAAGGATTTTTTTTTTCTTTCTATATCTCTCTATATTGTGAAGTGTCCTTAAAAGCTGTTTCAGATCAGTAACCTGGCTGCAGTGCTGGCAGCAGAGCCTGCATTCTGTTGGTACCTTCCCATAAAACAAGTGCATTCCAGGAGCTGATTTTATTGCAATGTAACATCAGTGTAATTACACATTTTGACAGATGAGCAGTCTGGTTATTCAGGTGTCTGTCTGGGAGTGCAGCCATCAGGAGATGCTCAGTAACCGGGTGTAAGGAGCACACCCAGGTGAGAGTATGTAGCTTCCTGCTTTTTCTTCTCAGCTCCTGGTTTAGGGATTTGCTAGGCTGGAATTTGCATCTATATGATTTGACCTAATCTCTTTTGTTACCCTATGTATAAATTTGGCTTCACAGCAATGCACAGCAGTGAATCCTTAATTTAATCATGACCCATATAAATAAAGTATTCTGTCTGGTTTTAAGCCATCTAACTCCTAATCTCAAGCCCATTAACTTTTACATTATGAGGAACTGAGAATAATGATTATCTTTTCCTCTTTTCCTGGGATCTAAGTTCACTTAATCTCCTTTTATTGAAATATTCATGCATGTTGTGCATCCCTTTGACTGTGACTAGCTCAGAATATCCTGCTGAGATGGAATGGGCAGAAACACAAATTAAAGATGCAGGCACAGGATGGGTTTAGATGTTTCTTGTCCTTTTTCCTCTCCTTTCCTAGCAAGAGAAGAGCTCCAGATTAATTATCATAGAATGGTTTGGGTTGGAAGGAACCTTAAAGATCATCTCATTCCAACCCCTCTGCCACAACAGAGACACTTCACACTATCCCAGGTTGCTCAGAGCCCCATCCAACCTGCTCTTGAACACTTCCAGGGATGGGGCATCCACAGCTGCTCTGTGCAACCCGTGCCAGGGCCTCACCACCCTCACAGTAGAGAATTTCTCCCAAACATCCAGTGCAAACCTACTTGCTTACAGTTTGAAGCCATTTATTAGCACTTGCAAAATAGATTTTGGAGTTATTTCAGTGTCATTATTCTAAGCCTTCTTCTGTGACATTTCTAGGTCTTCTCATTTTTTAGACTCTCAGATGACTCCAGATCATGAGTAAACTTCTAGTTCTTCTTCCAAAGAATGAATTAGAAAATATTTCTATCACCACACAACCTTATGTCTCCCTAAAAGCTGTGCTGGGCTCTTTTGCAGTACATCCTATTTATCCACTAGTAATTCCAATCTTTAATAATGCTTTCTCTAATTTTTTGAGTACCAAAATGACTCTGAGGCTTCCCAGGTCCTTCTGGCACTATGTTTGCCTGTCCATGCTCCTGTTGCTGAGAATGATTTAACAGATCACAGTAGGGAGTTCTGCAACTTCTTATTTTAATTCCTCAAGAGTTCTGAATTGAAATATTTATCACTGTTTTACCTAGAACTTGTTTAAGTCTATTCTGCTCAATACTTCCAAAACAAGGTCTCAGTCCATCACTCTCAGTGAAAGGCTCCAAGGTGGGACTGGTCCTCCACTGATGTAATCCTAACTCAGGTTCCTTCCCCTCTTGGTTTCCTTACACCTTGAGTGTTTATCAGGCTCAGCAGTGCACTGGGAGACTCCCTGCATCTGACATGCTTGGAAAAGTCTCTAATCTGCCTCTGTTGAGGCAGATTACCTTTATTAGTTTGATTCTCAAACCTTTCTAGTTTGAGAACTAATAGTTTAGTTTTGCTTTGCATTCATCAAATGTCATATCTATTTGGACACAAAATTCTGCTTTCTGAAAGATTTGTTTGAATATCTGCCATGACAGTGCTGCTCTGTGAGACTAACTTATTCTGGAGAGAGTCATCTATGGAGTTTTCTTTTTTCAGTTTTGTTAAATATTGATCTAATTTTAACGATTCTAAATAGATTGCAGGAAGTTGGATGAGATCCAAACCCAGATTGTTGTGGAGGTGTTTGCAGGTTTCCAAGATGGTCTCTGGACAGGTTGTCAGTGCTGTCAGTGGAGTCCAAGGGCAGATTAGCTCCCTCCAAAACCAGGAGTGCAGGAGATGGTCTGGTGAATTGGTGTTTGGGATCCCTTGACTGCACAGACTCAATTTCTGTTGTCTATTATTGGAACTCAGACATCTTGTTCACATGTAATCACCTAAAATAAAGTGTTCCAATCATTAATTGAGAGTGACCTTAATTGAATAATTAAGTGTTATTGCAGGCTGCTATTAATTCAAATTCAATTTTATTTTTAAATGAAAGTATGTTTTAATGTTAATTTAAAATTTTAAACATTTAATTTTTAAGCATGATACAAATTCACTGATATTTATCCAGACTGATGTTGAGGACATGGACATCAAAAAGCAATCTTAGAAATTCAGCTGTTATAGAGTCATGGAATCACAGATTGGTCTGTGTTGTAAGGGACCTTAAAGCTCATCTTGTTCCACCTCCTGCCATGGGCAGGGACAAATTCCAGTGGACAGGTGCTCAAAGCCTCGTCCAACCTTGAACACTTGTTATTAAAACAGTATTTTATTTATTATCACCCAGAGAGTTGGAACTGTCATTCTTTCTTTAATAATTTGCAGTTGAAGGACACAATCAAAATTCAGCTGAGGCCAGGAGGAATCTTCTCCTTGGCTTCAAAGAGCTTTTGATGAAGCAGGATTTACACCACAGACACCAACAGCAAAAAAAATGGTTTAAGTCAATGGTATAAACAATGTGAGCAAGGTAGAATGATCTTTTTATGCCTACATCTGGCAGACAGAAGGTATTACACATTTGTTTTCTAGTTTAGAGTATTTACAAACATTAGTGTTAATTTTGACAATGTAGGAACTCAGAATTTAATTCCTATTGCTGGAAGTTCTAAGAAGGCTCTAGGATATTAGATTAAGGGAAGATGAAATAATGATTTATGGCATCAAAAACCTTTCCTGAATGTCAGTCAATCTGTTCTGCTCAAAGGTTGTTAGCTATTTTGATATTAATCTCTACAAGAAAGAAATCATTGGTATTGGGAGAAAAGACAGGGGGAAGGGAAGGGAAATATTAAAAATATGTAGGAGGGTGGACTTTTTGCTAAAACAGTGTAGACTGAAACTGTAGGATTATGGATTTTTACAGTATTGGTACTTTGCTGTGTCAGCCAAAGTGTGCAGAAGATAACCCATACCTTGACTTCTCTAAATCCACATAGATTGTATTGCTTGAGCTGCAATGTAATTCAAATATAAAGTGTTAATTTAAGAGAAGAAATGTCTTTACTCTGCAAGAGGTCAGACACATACCACATTCCCTTCTGGTCATAAATCTGCAAATTTTGGTCTGATTCATGTTCATCCTGTGCAGTTCTGAGCCAAGGTGTGCAGAAGGCAGGAATGACCAGGTCCTCCCTCCTGACCTCTCAGCAGCACTGAAGTTGTGCTGGGGCTCCTGCAAATTGTGTTAACAGGGTACTGACAGGAAATCTCTGTTTGTTCCAGCATGGACCTGTGTTCACAATATTTGCTCTGGGAAAACGGTTCACTTTCGTTACTGAGGAAGAAGGAACTGAAGTATTTTTTAAATCTGAAGACTTAAATTTTGAACAGGCAGTACAGCAAGCTGTCAAGAATGCAGGTAACTGAGACCTGTCTCTTTTTAAAGGAAACCAAATCTAGTTACCCAGGAAGATTAAATCCCAACCAAAAGCCTATTGGCTTTTTGATTATACCTTAAATGCTTATTTTAATCCATGACTCTGATGTGAAATGGTGAAATTAAATTTCTCCATGACGATCTAGTACTGTAAACCAACTGAGGGAGTCTCAAGGAATGAGAAGTTTCTGATCCAGGGAATGTTATTATTTTCACCATCCAGCAGTCCTAGTTTGAGATCAGGTCCTTTGCTGTGGCTGGACACCCCACGTGCATGTACCTTGTTAAGAGCAGTTGTAGGTAATTCTATCACTTCACTGGAAAATCAGCTTGCAGCAATAATTACTTGCAGCAATAATTAGTTACTACACAGTAGTACAACAGTCATTAGAAAAGGATGAGGTGTTTATGAGGATGTACTTCTATTGCATGGAGACACAAACTGTTTTTTTTGACTTCATTCAGTTTTGTGGCGTGCCTGCACATCTCTGTACATCCCACTGGGGGGAAATCTCTGGATTGTTGGTTCTGGCACTGAAGCTCCACGAGGCAGGAAGACGTTACACAGGCTGGGAGAAGCAGAGTCATTACCAAAATCTTTACATGGTTACAAGGAGGCTTCCAGGGAATTTTACTTTGGGAAAATGAGGGTTAAGGCATTTAAATTAGAAGTTAAGTGTAAAAATGTTCACTCTATCTTTCAGTGAAAAATCTACTTTCCAAAACGTTTCTGTTTCATTTTGTATTTAGTCTCTGTTCCTGCAGAAGCATTTTATGAGAACCATGGTAACCTCTACAGCATGATGAAGGGGAAGATGAGTCCCAGTAACCTGCACATGTTCTCAGGCACTTTGTGTAAGGAGCTCCATGAGCACATGGCTCACCTGGGCACGGAGGGCACGGGAGACCTCAATGCCCTGGTAAGGTAAGGGAGACTTGCAGCACATCTCTAACTCAGGGGTGTCCTTCATGGAAGGGAAATATTTCTGTAAAGCAGCTGGAGCTCAAAAGTCTTACAAAAGTTTTGTTAGGGTGCTCCTCACAGCTTCATGGTTTCAAAGTGGCTCACAGAGTGGACAAGGTTTCATGGAAAGGTGTTTCTCCCAGTTAGAAGAAGAATCTGAACTGCCTGTTTGGAAGAAAAAAGAAAACACAGCATGTTCCAACAAACCCTGTTTCCCAAAAGATGGGATAAAAGCTTCACATTATTTATAAAGAACGTAGAAAAAAATGCTTAATCTTCTGCAGGTTGAGAAGTTTCCATGTTTGAGCCAAGCTTAGCTTGAAGCTTAACTATGACCTTCTGCAACTGACTTGGCTGTCAGAACTTCACATTAAAAAAAATTGTTTCATGTGACAGCAACAAAGCTTTTAACTCCTTTTTCCTGATTATCTGGGATAACACCTGTATCTTGTCTGTCCATCTGTACTACAAGTTGAATATTCATGTAATCCTAGAATAGTTTAGGTTGGAAGGATCCTTAAAGATCCCCTTATTCCATCCCCTGCCATGGGCACCTCCCCTAGAGCAGGTCACTCAGAGCCCCATCCAGCCTGGCCTTGAAGATTCCCAGGGATGGGAACAGATACTGCCTTTGGTTTGGACCTGTTTCTAACACCTCCCATTCACATTGTCTTTTGCTGCCCTTTCCTGCATTATACAGTAAGATACAGCTGTTAGTGCAGTTAAATCACTTGGCACCTCTCACTCCAGTTACTGCAGTTTGGATTAACTGGGAAAAATGTGGAGGAGAAGGCTTTGAAATCTTGTAGGGGGCGATTGGTTCTGCTTTGCTAAACAAGGCAAAGTAAAAGTATTGGAATGCAACATTCTGAATAAATGTTATTTAGCGGTCTCAAAATTAAATCCTTAGAGCCACCAGATGGCCCCCTCTTCCTAATAATCAGAAAATCAGAAAAGTGAGCACTGTTCCCTGAAATACCCATTTAGTAACACATGGAACGCAGCAAAGGCTGCACAAGAGTTTCCTGGAGTACAGAAGGGTCTGAGGAAGGGGCTCAGAGTTTGCAGGATAACAGAGGAGCAAGCATGAAAGAGTGAGATGAAAAGAAACCAAAAAAACATTATCTGCCCAGGAAAGCTGCAGCTAGAGGAAGGATGTTTCAGGATGTTTGGTCCAGAGGGGTTTGTGCAGTGCCCAGAAGGTTCATGTGAGTCAAACTGAAATGAGAGGGGTGGTTCATGGGGAGAAGGGGACCTCGGTGTCCAGAGCCTTTCTGCTCCTACTCGAGTGACCAAACCCCAGCTGGTGAAGTTCAGCCATGTGTAGAGGACCAGCCTGAGCTCTGTGAATCTCCTGCCTCTGTCTAAAATCTGAAATAAGTGTGGGGCTTGTAAGTGTGGGAGATGTGAGTCTTGTGCCAGCCCTTCCATACTGGTGTGACCCTTGAGTCCCCCAGCTTCCAGGGTGGGCAATCCAATGGGCTGAAACTGCAGCAGCTTCCCTGTGGCCCCTAAGTCTTGGGCATCTTGTCCTTGCAGGCATGTCATGTATCCAGCAGTGGTGAACACCCTGTTTGGGAAGGGCATCTGCCCAACCAGTCCGAGTGAAATCAAGGAATTTGAAGAGCATTTTCAGAAGTATGATGAGGACTTTGAATATGCTTCTCAGATGCCTGAGTGCTTCCTGAGGTAAAGGGGCAAAGCTGATGATTGTGGTGTAGCCACTACAGACATTTGTCTTGCTGCAGGGTCAGCCATGGGAGGGGAGACATTTCCCCTAGATGTTGCCCAGTTTATACTAATGGTGTTCCCTCAGGTGAAGCAGGTTTTCAGCTAAATGCTTCAAAAAAGTTCTGACCTTGTCTTGTACATTTTCTGGTATAAAGCAGAAATAACCTGGCTAGGTGAGCAGAGCCCAGCTTGGACCTATCAGGGACTAGGCAGAATGGGGTAAAGAGCAAAGGCCTGAGCCTAAATGTGAGTCCCAAGCTCAGGGGGCCTCCAATGAGGTGTCTCTCTGGTCTTTTCCACACCTCAGCTGTTTTCCCAATACCAATCCCAGGTTACATGTCTGCACTGTCACAGAACTGACCTTGGGTAGAAACACCTAAACCCTGAGGAGGTGCTTCCAGATGCTGTCAGTGCTCTCAGGGCCATCATTGCACCTTTAGCACCTCAAAATACCTTCAGAAAGAATTGAGGATGCTCTAAAAAAATGGCCTTGATTTTCTTCAAGATGATTGGCCTAAGCAGTCTATCCAAATCAACAATGAAAACCTGTAATAAAAAGGTATGAAGATGTAGGAGTGTTGCAGTCCCAGGTCCTGGCTGCAAGAGGAGGTCTGGCCAAGGTGAAGGCCTTGGACATGCTGTTCCTCATGCCAGTCATCTCTTGGCTGTTCATCAGCTGATTGCTGCCCAGGGGCTTTTGGAAAACAACCCAAGGAGGGCTTCTCATGGAAAAGGAAATGTTGGTTTGTGCTGCCTCAGTTAAGTGCTTCTTGTTTGTTGCTTTTCTTTACAGCAACTGGTCTAAATCCAAAAAATGGCTTCTAAAATTATTTGAGAAAGTAGTGTTGGATGCTGAAAGGACCAACCCTTCAGAGACTGCATCCAAGGTAAACATCCGAGGCTAGGAAATAAGATGACTTTGTTGTATATTCTGACTGAAGCAATGGAGGGCAGGAATTACTTCAGTACTGGAAGGAATAAGTCAAATATGTCAGCTTTTATAGCTATACCCAAATGTTCCAGTATTGCTGTCACCTGCAGTAGGACAGACCCATAACTTTGACTCCTGTTCCTCAATTTAGTTCATTTGAAGCAATTCTGAGAATTAACATCTTCCCCTGGGGAATTTTAAGGCAAGGGGTCAGAGTTATGAGCCATCCCCAGCCTGCAGTCCCACGCTGCAGTGAGCAGTTGAAAGAGGTGAGAGAAAGACCCTTCAGTTGTTCCACTGAGGGCATGTGTGAAACTTCAAAACCTTACATGTGCTATTTATAAACCCTGGTGTAGAGTGAGCAGATCCTTCAACAGCCAGACTGGTAGAAAATAGCAGATTACTGGCTTGGGAGCCAAGTACCCTAAATATTGATTGTGTCAAAGCTGAGATAAGTTGTTCCCCTGGTTATTCTCCTGAGCTCTGGCAGGAATTCTGCCGATAGGGCTGACAGATGTGACGGCAGACTGGCCTGGGAATTTTGATCTACCAAATGGTTGTAGGACAGATCATTAAACAAAACAGGTTTTATTTAGACTTCAAAAGCTTTACATACTGCAATAAAATAAACCAGATCAGCAGAAAGAAAGAGAAGGCTGAGAGGTGCTGGTGGGAGGTAAAGAAGGTGCAGGAAGTGGGCAGCACAAACTTGGTATCTTAGGTTGGATGGGAATTTGGAAAAAATCAGCAATTTTTTAAATTCAAGATTGGCCTTTTCCCCTCTGAAAAGTAGGCAGGAAGCTTTGCCTCAAGTGCATGGTTGCCCTGCCTTTAAGGAAATATTATAAACAAAAGCTGATCCTAGAACATTACACAGTTGCTATAGCTCCAAATATCAGCCCATTGAAGTCACTGCTTAGGTCACCAACAAGGTGCCTGAAGCTAGGGAGTTTGCTGATGTGTCAGACCATCTCTTTATAACAAGCACTTCTGGGTATGATCAGAGAGAACATTTTCTTCATTTCCATTTGCTCAACTGGCTCATTCCCATTTTGAGGTTCTTTAAAGCAGAGGTGTAGAGAAGGGATTAGAATAGAGATTTTTTTTTCCTTTCTTTCACATACAAGCAACAAGGGGGATGAGGGAACCCAATCCTCTAAAACTTAAAGGAAATGGAGAGCAGTCAAGAGTATTCAGGAGGAATTCATGTGGTGCACTGAGTTTTCCTTGCCCTCTGCCTATGTGAGTCTCATTTTCTTTTAATAGCTATCATCTCTACATTATGCTTTCCAAAAAATCCACAACTAACATTACTTCTCTTTGAGAAACTAGTCCTTGAGCTCTAGTAAGCCACGCCCCAAACTACATTTTAATATATTCTTGGAAATACAGATTATTTTATTTTATTTTTAACAGACACTTCTACAACATCTCCTGGATAGCTTGCAGGGAAAACATCTAGCTCCCAAGTATGGTCTCCTGATGCTCTGGGCTGCCCAAGCAAATGCTGTGCCTGTAAGTACATCAGCTGCAGAAACACCTTCTCTCTCTCCTGCTCCAAAGCCTGGATTTGGGGAGGAAAGGCTTTGAAGCAGAGGTCACAAACACTCCATGGATTCCAAAGAAGGGATTATCACGCCCACATGCATCACTACAAATATACCCAGGCTGCAATGTCACAGAAGCAATGACAAGAAAAGCTCTTCTTGTATTTTTCCGAAATTATGTTGTCCCCTGTCATAACATTTCAGGAACATAAGCCTCACAGCTATTAAGATCACAGTCCTAAGCTGTGAAGAGCATTTAACTCTGTTTTGAAGCACTGTGGCTGTATTATAGAAAAGACTATTTCAGATACCCTGGTGTTACCAATTGTAAAGAATATCAAAAGCATAATATAGAGTAACTTCATCTGTGTGTAAACCCTCAAGTGATTTTTTCTCTTTCATTTTTGGGAAATCTGCTGTACAAATGCCAGTGGAAGAAAAGCAATAGTTTGATTCTAGAGCTGTTAAGTTTTGTCATTGTTAGAAAAGGATTTGCTGGATTAATGATACTGATATAAGTATGCTAACAAGCCCAATATATCTAAGACAGCTTAGGCTGACCAAAGACATTTACAGGAATTTCTCAGATGAAAAATCCATAGCAGCAAAAACATCCTTTATTTACCATGACTACTAAGCTCTTTCCAGCACAGTTATGTCCATTACAGATGTGATTTAGAAAAACAAGATAGTGAGTTATTTTTATATGTTCCCCTAACGGATATATCTATGTTTTTTGGAGATTGGATATTACTGCAGTTTAGCCTAAGGGAATTTCATCCATTTCAGTGAGGTTTCTGTGGATTCACGTGTTGGCATAAGTGGGAGGCATAGCTTGCTGTCTGTTATCAGGATAACTGACATTCCTTCCACAACACTTACTTCTGTAATATTCAGCTGTAAATAGACATACAGATATTTTTCTGTTTCTCAGAATAGTAACAACCACTGTTCTGGGGAATGGAATGACGAAAGAAAAGGCCTTTCACCTTCCAAGGGCATTTTTTTACAAGCACTTTAAGCCCTTTTATCTGAAACAATTCAGTTATCCCTTCTTAGCCCATGGAGAGAAGCCACAGTGTCCAAGTGCTGTACAGGAAGGCTAAGCTACAAGACTTGCTTTGCAGAAGAAGGGCTGCATCCATGTCAGTCTGTTTGGGAAATAACAGTCAGAGTTTCATCCTTCACCAGCACAGATGGCCCACGACCAGATCTGTGTGCAGGCTGCACCTCCCGCTAGCTCAGCAAGAGGAGAGAGACTCCTGGCACTGCTGCCAGTCCTTCTGGTTTCATCCTGCTTAAGAGGATTTTCTCCTTTCCTAAGTTTCTTGATTTTCAACTTCATTGCATAATCAGTTAGTAAATTATTTCTAAAGGGGATATACTACTCCTTGTTTTGCTGTTAATTAAAACTTTTCCTGCCCATTTTAGTGTGACTCACTATGACAATGCCCTGCAAATCATTTTACCTCGTTTCTGCAAATGCTAGTATGAATTTATTTTTCTTTCATTCCTGCAGCTAAAACTAATCATGCATGATGATTTAGTAGTTCATTTAACACCTAGTTATTTGAAAATAAAGGATTCCATGTTTCAAAGCTCAAGGCCAAAGCTATATAATGTTCCCTAAAGATAAGTACACAGCAGATGACTAGACATAATCTCCCAGGAGCTGAGCCCTTAGATATGGATTTACCCAGGAAGCACAGCTCCCCATGCATCTCAACCACAGCAGGCAGACACAAAAAAAGTACAAATGTTTTCACCTGCCTCTGTGATTTGCTAAAAAGATACTGCCATTCTATTCCATGTCCCTCAATTCAAGGATTTCCATTCTGTTTAGGTTGCATTTTGGACCCTTGCTTTCATACTCTCTAATCCTGCCATTTACAAGAAAGTCATGGAAGACCTGGCTTCTGTTTTTGGCAAAGCAGGTAATAAATGTGATTTTGTCCTTCTGGAAGCTGGAAGTGATTTATCCTGTGTTGGCCCAGCACAGGGCACACTTGGTCAGTGGCTGGGAACAATGAGTGTTCCAATTAAGGGTGCTACTGATAGCATAGACAGCTCTCAGGTCTTTACTCAGTATATGATCAAGATGTATTTCTAAGCAAAACCCATCTCTGATGTTAGCAGAAGGAAGTAGGAAAAGAACAGTATGTGTTTGTCTCTTTGTTCCTATCAGAAAAGAACACTATGTGTTTCTTCATTCCTATCACTTAAACTTAGATTTGTATTTGTATTTCCTAGTTTTGTGCTTTTTCTAGGCACCTAATAGTTGAGGTCTTTCAGTTCAGGTGCTTTTCATGGTGTGCTGTTCACCAGAGTTACAGCTATTCATGGTTAAAAAGTAGACCAGGAAATGTTCTTTTCTGTCATCAGAGGCAAATTTTTCCAGCATGGTTGACCCCCCATGAGTAACCTCTTTCACTCAAAAAGCAGTCACCTATTGGGAGCAGTTGTTCCCATATGCAGTCCCTTGGACCAGAGTTAAACTTTCACAGAAGCTCTTTGTTGACATGGGTCAAAACATGCCAGTAATTAACCAATAAAGAAAAATCCTGAAGTCTTTCTCCTGGTCTTGTTTCATTTTCTAACGTTAACAGAGTCCAAGAGCTCAGCCATGGCTTCTTGTCTTGGTGCCTATAGTCCCTGAGATTTCCATGCAGTGTCCTGTGAAAGTACAGAAAAACTCTGAAGACTTTTAACTTCCAACATGACTTTGTTTGGCCCCTTCTATCTAATGCCGTATCTATACCTTAGAGTTATTGAATTATGTCCAGTGGCTTTTCTTAAATGTTACTGATTTGAGTCTGTTTATTTACTTTGAAATACAAAGACGATTTTTGGGTGTAAACAATGCCTTGAGGTCTTGAAGTATTTCACCCACAGTCCTAAAGCAAGACATGCCAGCCTGTATCAAAGCAAGTATAAATGGAATCTTCTTTTTCATGCCCCAACAGGTAAGGATACACTGGAGGTGTCTGAGGAAGACCTGAAGAAGATCCCTTTCATTAAATGGTGCACTTTGGAAGCCATACGGCTGAGGTCTCCAGGTGCAATCACCAAGAAAGTCATAAACCCAATTAGAATTAAGGTGAGGTTTGGTTGTGGGGTTTTTCCCCCAAAGAATGCTGTGAGATTTGTCTGGAAAGGGTCCTCCCATTAGATCTGGGTAAAATTACAGTGATAGAGATATTCCCCAGCCTCACATATATATTCTTTTAAATAGATTTGTTTATTATCATTAATTTATGAGTGGTCTGGATTGTCTGGCTCACAGTCTTGCCTTCAGTTTTGAATTGATTTGAGATTGAATTGAATTGAACTACAGATACTGATGGCATATAAAAGAGGAATCAGACACCACAAAAATAGTTGAAGGATCTACATTTTAGTTACTGATAAGACTCCTTTTTTTGTCCTATTCACTACCATTCAGAAGGGAGGTGTCAGCATTCAGGAATCTGGCAAAGAAATGTTTGGGAAAAAATCCACTCTCTTGAGGAATCAGTGCTTGTGACTATTTAAGATTACTGATCAAATTATCAGTATAATCTATCTATTGTCATAGAAGGCTTTCTTTGAGTTTCTTTGCATTGAAGGAAGTATTTAACAAAATATTTAGAAAAAAGAAAACAGCTCATATGATAAATCAAGAAACAGGAAAGACAGAAATAATGCTTCTGATGTTTTGATATCTAAAAAACCCAAATCAGAACACAAATAATCTTTCCAGCTTCCCCATTGTTTAGGTTTTGTGGAAAAAAATAGCAGCAGCAAGAAGAAACTTCAGACATGTAATGTGGCCACCATGGCTTTATCACCCTCACTTATCTTTTCTTAGGATCTTCTGCTGATGGAAGAGAGCTACCAAGGAGGGACTATTTTGTGAGATTTTTAGTTCTTTTCTTAGAGATTTTTCTCTTTTCAGAATTTCACCATCCCTGCAGGTGACATGCTGATGTTGTCACCATATTGGTTGCACCGGAATCCAAAATATTTTCCTGACCCAGAAATGTTCAAACCTGTAAGTTGTCACTCTTAGTGTGGATATTTTGCTGCCTTTTCTTCCCTTCACTTATTTTACAATAAAAGTATATGGATGAATGTGCTTAAATCTGGCTGGAGAATGGCCTTGAATACAGGGACATAAAGGAGGAGCCTGTGGAAATAAAAAAGTCTTTTAATTTCAGTGACATGTTGCAGATAATATGGTACTATCTTAGTGTCACTTTGATCCTGATCTTCTCACTCTCTGTAACTCCCTGAAAGGACATTGCAGCCAGGTGGGAGTCAGTCTTTTCTCTCAAGTAAGAGCTGATAGGATGAGAGGAACCAGCTTCAAATTGTGCCAGGGGAGATTCAGATTGGATATTAGGAAAAATTTCTTGACTGAAAGCGCTGTCAGGCATTGGAACAGACTGCCCAGGAAAATGGTCACCATCCCTGGAGGGGATTTGTGTAGGTGTGGCAGCTGGGGATGTGGTTTAGTGGTGGATTGGCAGTGCTGGGTTAATGTTGGACTCAATGATCTTAGAGGTCTGTTCCAACCTAACCAATTCTGTGATTCCAAGTATTCTCCTCTCCCTGCCAGATGATTTCTCGTAGGTATTATCTCTGCTAATTCAGTAGTTAATCTAGTTTCTTGATTATTATTCCACTGCAGGTGGCTGTGTGGGCAGGCTTGTAACTGCTCTTTTTAGCACCATCCAATATAGAACAGTTTGTCTTTTTTATAGAAATACATCAAGAAGTAATTTAAACAAAACTTCCCTTCTAGCAAACTCTTCCTGATTTGAAATCCCTTTTAACAATTCCTGCTTCTTTGAAATCTGAAGCTGAAACTGATGTAGCAGCTTATTTTTTTAGTAACTTTTTTTCTAAAGAGCAAGTTAGTTTGTTTTTTAGAAACTCTCCCTTTTTTTTTTCAAGAGGAATAGATGAGTGCCCCTTGGACATTGTCATTCCAAATGTATGACCTTGCTTCATCACCACGGAGTTTTTTTTTCTTCTTTATTGGATTTTGATGCTGACAGGTTTCTTTCTCAGAAATCTCTAATCAGCCCTAGCTGAAAAAAACTTCTAAAGTAGATAAATGCAAGATGGTGTCTTCTCTGGGACAGCTTCATCAGAGGAGTTCACCAGCAGAAGCTTGACAGGGTGTTAGTTGGCAGAGTAGCACTGAGTTTGTGGAGGCTGGTACAGTTTGTCACCCAGCAGTCATGAGATGTGCTTCTCTCAGCGTCACCCACCAGAACTGCAGTCAGTATTGCCTTGTTCCTTGTGTAGTCCCTTTCCTCTCAAAGCAATTTAGGATGGAGCTGGGATCCCTTTGGGTACAGACAAGCTGTTTTTTGTGGAGAGTCTTTCATCTTCTCACACACTGGCTTACACCAGTTAAAGCTCATAGACCTTGCATTTGTCTTAGAAATGTTTTTTCTGTGCAAGATGTGTGTGAGCTATTTGTGTGTCATGGCACAATTTTGTGGCTGAGGCTTCCCTCAGTACTGGTTGAACATTTGCATTTGTAGATACATTTAAAAAGAGAAGGTTGCATTTTAATAGCAAAAGATGCAGGATTTAGGAAATGAGGATGTATAGGGAAACTGCTTTAGGGATAATTTTGAAAACTTCTCCAGCATGTTAAGGCACCTAAATGTGCTTCAAATGGGACCCTCATTTCTTTCCCTGATTCAGTGTTGACTTTTGGATCCAGACTCTAATACTAACAGGTTGAATGCAAAAAATGGTATTAGTGCAACTTTGTATTGAGGATTAGCTGTCCAAGGTCATTTTTAGCCTGAAGAAATAAAGTTAAGCTTTATTTATATAAGGCTGATTTGGAAAAAAAAAGTTTCTTCCCACAGGATCGTTGGAAAGAGGCAAATTTAGAGAAGAATGCTTTCTTGGACAGCTTTGTGGCATTTGGAGGAGGGAAGCATCAGTGTCCAGGAAGGTCAGTGAAACAGCTGGAGTTTATTTATTCCTAAACCCTGCAGAGAACAACTCTCTTGAACTGGGTTTCTCTTACTCTTGGAGATAACGTGTTTGCTTTGCTCTTTGTCAGTCTCCTAATGCACCATCTGCACCTTGTTTAAACTGATCTGAAAGTGGTTTCACTCCTGGAAAAGACAGGTGAAGTCACAATGAACAGGCAGAATCTGAGACCAGTGTATCAAGGGATATTGCCCCCCACGCAGGGAGGAAATTCAGCCTGGCTCTGCCCCTGCTGAGGTTTCTTTTCATCAAAGGAGAGTTGCTCCACTTCCATACACACCATTTTACAGACACAGTTACTTAGGTTGGCTTAAACCAGTTCTAAACAAACCTACAGAACATTTCCCAGGTTTGAGACTCTTTCCATTCTCTGTGATGTCATTGACATTTCTGTTGATCTTCAGGTATCCTAACTGTCTCCTCTGTGTTTGAATCTGGTCTTTGCATTAGGGCACACAGAACTGTATAATGGCTTAAATTGCAGATCCTGTCTCACTTCACTCCTTCAGCAATGCCAGCCTTGGTACTTCCTGCATTCCTTCTGCTGTTTTCTCTGCTGTCCCTCTTCCTGGAGAAAGTCCCAGGGAGCCAGCTGCTCCTTGTTCCTGTGTTCAAACACCTCTGTGCTCAATCCTCTGCCTTCAAAACCTGAGCTCCTCCGAGACAAAAATCTCCTTAGAACCCTTAAGACCAGTTGTTTTACCTCGAGTTCCATGTGGAGCAAGGAATCAGGAGGGTGTTGCAGCGGATCTGCATTCTGGAATCTGCACCCTATGGCAGGCTAGAGATGAGGGCCAGATAAACTTTGTGAAGGCACTAAAGACATGAGCAAAATGAGTAAAACTGCTTTTACCATTTAGGCTTGTCAGAGGGAAGTGCTCACTCACTGCTGTACCTCAGTGGCTTGTACCACATTCCTGAGCTAAAACTGAGCACAGCCTCATTCCCAGCAAGGGCAACAGCAAAATTCACAAGAGGCATCTGCAGGTACAGGGAAAGCTGCAAACAATGTTTCTGAAAGCTGCTTGTTTATGTATCCTGACCTATATCTTTGTTCAGGCTGTTCTCTGGACTCTGATAACATCTTTCAAATAAGTTTTAGTTTAGAGAGGAAAGTATAACATTTCTACACGGACAACAGATGGAGAATCTTGTTCTTGATGAGAAACAAAAAAAGCCCTTTCAGACCCTTTGGCAGTCCACATGGTAACACACACATTCAGGTTTTTCAGCAATAATTGTAAAAGAATAATGTGATGGTCTTGAAAAAAAAGATAATTAAATCAAGGGTTGTATCAAGGATTCCAGGCTGCAGATTTCCTTCATACAACTGAATGAAACAATGCTATTTCAAGTTTAAGATGCATTTTTATTTATTTCCTTAATGAAGTTTATAAATTAAATATATGTAACATTTAATTTCTCCATTGAAAAAGTTCAGGATAAAATTAAAAGCTACTTTAATCAAACTGAAAGCTAGTAAATAACTTAGCTGTCCAATATTCTACCAAACTGATGTGGGAAAAGCTCCAAAAAAGCCATATTTTTTATCTAAGAGAAAAATTTGAAGTCAGTTTGACTACTTTGGTCAAACCAGATGATTATTGCTTGTGTGACTGTGCTTGTCTTGCATGGGTGTGTTGTCCCCTCAAGCACTGGGCTCCAGGGCCCTGCTGTGCAAGCAGAGCTGGGACTGGAAGGACCCAGCCTTGCATGGTGCTGCAGGCTTGGAGCTTGGGCTACATCCCACCTGAGCTGGGCTAGCAACCATCAAAATATCTCTGCACTCCATTCCCCTGAGCCAAGGCCACCAAAAGCTCGAGGCAGCTGTAGTGTGAAACCACAGGGATAATTTGGGTCTGAAGCTGTGCTGAAACAAACAAGGATATCCCACTCCAGAGCCCAGGGTGGCTCTGCAGGAGTTAACTTGGGTCTGTGCGGCTTTTTATTTTCCCTTCACACCTGCCAGGCCAACTCCATGTGCAGTCATGTAGCCTCTTCCCCTGTGAATTCCCCCATAGCTATTTCATCCAGGTTTCCCAGCATTTCTCTGTACAAGAGCAAGGTGGTGTTACTATTTTAACTGGGTATTTAAGACTTGTGTCTAAACTCTGCAAGTGAGTAATCCCATGACCTGGCATAGGTGCACAGTGGTGAATGCAGAAAGCTCTTGTACACACAAGCTTTAAAAACCAGTAGCCTGGAGGGTTTCACCTGCAATTATCCAAAATCTTCTCTGGCCTAAGAAATACCTTTGGGAGAGTGTTACAGAAAAAAGAAACCATGCCCTTGGGTCTCCTGCTGCATCCTAATGCTGACGCATTAAATAATAACTCCCACTGTCACTGCTCTCTGATGTCACCAGGCTCCCAGCTGTATCATATAACTTTATATAGCACAATTAGTCATATGGCCTTTTCTGTTTGACTGTCTTCTCACTCCTAGGAAGTTATTTCAAGTCAGCAAGTGTTAGGAGAACATAAATGTTTATACAGTGGAAAAATCCATAATGATAAGGAGCTGGTTTAAAATAGGTGTCAGAAGGATACTGTCAGTCCAGTGTTTCACCAGGGAAAGAAGGGGCAGCTGCCACATTTGTGTTCTTTGCTGAGCAACAAACCCAAACTACAGCAGTTTCCCTATGGAAGATAAACTTTCAGGCAGAACTAAAGCACAGAGTGTAAAATGTGTCAAAGACACCCTGTTTCTTACCTGATAATAACACACATGTCATGGTCAGTCTGGAGGGCCAATGCTTCCTCCTTTTTCGTGCAGGTGGTTTGCAATCATGGAAATCCAGCTGTTGGTTGTGCTGTTCCTGTACAAGTATGAATTTGTGCTGTTGGATGCAGTGCCAAAGGAGGTAAGAGATCCATGCATTTGTGTAGCATTGTCCATATTTATACCTTCATTCATCAGGCTCAGCTGAACAACCATGCTCAAATGTGCTTACATAAATTTTGAGAAGAGTATTATAAAACATGTATCTTTGTTTTAACTCAGAAAATCCAGAGTAATTCCTGCAGTTCCAGTTAGTGGGGGCTGCACTGGCTATATAACCAAGAGCTTACAAGAATATTTTGTCTCATTGTTGCCTAAACATTACCAAAGATTTGATACTTGTTGCTCAAAAAACAGTAAATATGGAATAAGATCATGAATACTTTAAAGATATGGAACCAGAAGTAACACTTGTAATGCTCTTCCACTCCATCTTCAGGGGTGGAAGGTAAATTACTAGAGTAAGACTGAATGAGCAGCTGAGACACAGAAAGGTTTTACACTTATGGTAGAACAGCACAGTTGCCACTTCATTATTTGAATATTTTGAAAGTATTCAAAACTGTGGGGATTTCTTAAGAGCTCATGTGTCACCCTGACAGAGTGACTGGAATAATAATTAACCATGAAGGTCCTACTCAATGGCTTCAGCAAAGCCAAGAAATAATTACTGTTATTTGGTCTTGGCTCTCTAAGACAGAAGATGCAAGAATATCTTAACATTAAATCACAATGGTAATTCCATTAACTAAACTAACTGATGTGTTTTTTCTGAATTTTTTATTTTTTCAGAGCCCTTTACACTTGGTGGGGACACAGCAACCCATGGCACCATTACAGGTCCGGTATAAATGCCGGGAATGAGAGTTGTCCAGCACTGAGCTTTCTTTGCCAGCCCAGGCTGGATGGATGGACCACTGAGCTGCTTCCTAATTCCACATCTTCAGACAGCTTCTCTGCCTGCACAGTTCCTGATTTCAGCTTTCAGTGCTGTACACTGTGCTGTGCCAAACCAGTGCAGTCATACCTGTGTGCTGCCCTGGCTGCCCAGCTCCCAGTGCTTCAATCCAAGCTCTCCTGCTGCATTCATAATTTGTGGGCCAGTTACTCACTGACTTTGCAAATCTGATATACTAAACTCACCATCCAAACATTCAGGACAAAAAGCTGCAGTGTCTGGAAATCTTGTGTGGAAGCTGTGCCAGAACCAGCAGAGAAGCAGCTCCCTTGGGCCAGGTCACTGCTTCCTGCAGGGCGCTTCAAACCAAGGCCGGACTGGTGCCTCATGCTAAGAAATCACATTGGTAACAAACAGCTCCCTGGTGCTGGTGAGCACAAAATCCAGGACAGTCTGAGCAGAGACCTCTGGATCAGCTCCATCCTGATAAACTGTGGGGACTTGTGTGTCACTGCCTGTGTGGGCACGTGAAGGTCTGGCCTGCTCTGCCAGCAACCAGCGCCAACATCTTGCAAATAAAATGCATTTGTAATGGAAAAATTGTAATTGGGATCTTGTTCCACTGGAACACCTGAAATTTCTGCTGAGCTTTATTTTGCTCCACAGGATTCAGAATCGATCCTTGCCTGAATTTGCAATGAAAGTTTGACCATATTTAGCTCCCAATAAAAAGTGATTGCAAGGAAAGCTGTTCCCGCTCATGAGACTGGTTGTCTATTACCTAGAACACTTTTACTTTCCCTTCCATGAGTTATAGAACAAATTGCACAAATCTAAGAATTTTTAATCCTGTAAAGAACACCTAATAAAAGTTGTTTGAAGATGCTGTCAAGTAAGTTCAGATACCAACACTTTAACTGCTGTCAGATTTAATATACAATAATAACTGGCATGTATTTTTAGTCTTATAAGTAATTATTCATAGCAAATACATTTTAAAAGTATTTGCAAAAAATACAGATAGACTTTGAACAGCAGAACAAACTATGGGAACAACATAGGATATGCATAGGAAAATAATACATTGTATAATTCATTACATGGTTGGCTTACCTTCATGATGGATAGAACAACTTCAGTGATTTATATGGCTGGAAAGTGATTCATCCAACTTTTATTTTAGCTCATAATAGTTAACTGTGTATGAGTTGCAATCTTAATTGCTGTTCCACTGTCTCTTCCATAACTGAAAGCCATTTCCTTGGATTTCATGCATGGTATTACCTGAAAGTGTATATTTTATTTTTAAAATTTGGAAATGACCTTAATATTTGTAAGGCCAGGCCTGATGGGCCTCTAAGCAACCTGATCTAGAGGAAGGTGTCCCTGCCCATGGCAAGGGATTGGAACTGGGTGATCTTTAAGGTCCCTTCCAACCCAAACCATTCTGTGATTCTGTGATGATTTTTATAAATATTTTGCACTCACAGACCTCCACCTTCATCTGCAAGAGCAGGGGGCAGGCTGAGGCCACTGGTGCTGTTTGAGTGCTGAGTTTCTGTCTGAGCTGGCCACTGGAACCATCAGTGGGTACACACATTTTACACATCTGTAGATGTGTCTGCTGGATGCAGGGGCGTGGAGCTGCAGCAGCCTCACCTCTCTGGGGCTACTGGATTTAGCAACTCCCCATCAGTTGTGAATCAGCCATGAAAATATTGGTCCTGAAAGGCAGGACATGATTTTATTGCAAGTGCAGGCTTTTGGCAGGAAAGAAATAGCTGTTCATGGCAGAGGTGAAGAAAAGTGGGCCTGACTGTGGGGTCCCATCACTGCCCTGTTGTGGATCACAGCTCCAGGCACTCACTGTACTTTCCAAGGTGGAAAAAAACAAGGGAGGTGGATTAGTAAAGCAATGTGATGGTCAAGTGATAGAGCTAAAAGGGGTCTTCTGCCTGGAAATAATCCAGAAGCTTCTGGAGGAGGGAAAGACTTTCCCGTGGGACGGGGTTAAACGGGCATTAAAAGGTCATTGAGATACCCTGTGCAGGAGTGGATTAAGAGTATCTAAATGATTCCTCTTCAAGTGCTTGTCCAATCAGCTTTTAAATACAGCAGTGCCAAATTTCCATGGGGGATCTGTCCTCTTACCTGACTCTCCCTTCTGTTAGAAAGCTGTCCTACATATCAGGGCATAGCAGGAATCAGAGTAAGGTTTTATCCATGCCTTTACCACACGACTGTAAGAAGCCAAAGATTTTTAAGCCCACAGAGAAATAAAATGTATTTCAAGCTACCTTTTTTATTTCTACCTTCTATATGAAATCTGGGGGTTAAAGGGAAAGTAGTAGAACATCCCTCAAAAAAAAAAATCTTAGAAAATGTAACTGTTCCTCCTCCAGACATGGCAAAGGCCAGATCTACCTGATAAATTCCAGTGTCAAAGTCATTGAAACAATGGTAAGAATTGTCTTAATGGGACAGGAAATGTAGTGTTACAAGGAATGAGAAATAAAACTCTGTTACATGAATTTTCCTTTAATAATTGTACTTCAGAGAAGTGTTTCAGGGAAAAAAAATAAGGAAACTAACACATTCCAGACAATTCTTTTATATACTTTTGAAGAGGGTATAAACATTTTCCCTGAAATAATGAATTTCATGTGGAAATACAAAACTTCTGAAAACATTTCGAGTTAAAATTGTTGACCTCCTGTAAGTGAATCTTCTCCAGTCAGCACAGTGAAAAGATCACCCACACTATCAGCAGCCACCTCCCAGAATAATCACAACTTCTTTCATGTCTTCCCTCTAATGAGCCTCCCCAAAGGCCCCTCTCAAGCCAAGTATTTCAAGTGGTCTTTCTTTTTTCTGTGCCACTGATTGTCACAGAACCCAGAACTTTCAGCTTAGCACATACACCTCCTCAAAATAGATGTCTGGGGACTAGAAGATAGTGCTGTGGCTATTGAGAGGTGGGCTAAAAATAAAGACTTTCCCTCAAAAAGAAATTAATTTTAAGGCCCTTGCTCTGTGCTGGACTTAGGCACTTTGCCAAGCAAAATTCAACTTAAGCATGTGTTTTGCCTTAAACAAACACTTAAAATGGATCTGGGGAATAAGAATGGATTTTGATTTAAGCACAGGCTTAAGTGCTTTGCTGAACCAGGGTCCAAAAGCCTCAGTCCCTAACCTGTTGTTTACAGTTAGTCTTGGCATCTGCATTGCAATTTTAAGGACATACAAAGGTTAGTGGAAATACTGAGATGGCTTTGCTCATTTTAGGTGAACCTGGCACATGTGAAAGGATTTTAGGAAGCATTTATAGTCCAAACCAGTAGGCTTTGTTGGCAACAAGCATCTTTCCCAGTTATTTGGTACATTCTAAATGTGTGGCTCATCACACTGCAAAAAATACTCCCTGTCCACCATGTGGTAGAAGGGGAATTGGACACAGAAAAGGCAGTCAGAAGATAGCAAGCACTTAATTGCAACAGCCAAGGAGAGGCTTTCATCATGTGGCCATTCTGGATGACATTGGACATGGGACTGATTGGCACAGCATTATTTGGGTTTTTCACTTTGATCATAAAATTACCAGGAAAGGCTTAATGGAGTTATAAATATCTTGTTTCCATGAGAGTCCTGGGAAGATAATTATAGCACTAAAGTCTTTACAAAGATAGAGCATTTATGAAATGATATTATCTGAGGCCTCCAATGGATAATGCAGGGAATTCTGCACTCTATTCCCAGCTCCCCTATTGACTCACAGCGCTCTTTGGGTGAATCACTTCATCCCTGTTTTCCTCACTCTGGGGTAATAATGACAATTACCTACTGCTGCAAAGTCTGTATGGCTTAAAAGCTGTTGCTCCCACTCATCAGAGCACTCCTGCCTGGTTATTGATAGCAATGGCTGCCTGGAAGGCTTTGGATGAGCTACATGTCTTCCTGATGTGTGCTACTGGTAAATTACACTGCTTGTAGAGTTACAGTCAAAACACTCAGGAGAAACATTTTAAATCTCTTAATTCACAGTTTTCAAGAGGATGATGAAACAGCTGTAACCCACAGTCTTCAAAAATACTTTGTTTTTAATGCAAAGCTTGGCATTTGAAGACTATGGACAAGTTTCTTGTTGAGTGGAAAGACAACTTCCTTTCATAAAACCAACCCCAATGGAGGAGCATTGTCTAGAAGGCTGAGTAGCAGCTGCCTGTGAGTAGGAACTACATTTATACTCCAACATTCCTAGCTGCACTCTTGCTGCTCTAGAGACACCATATATTATCTTTCCAGCTTTGAAAAGGGCAAGTGAGGAAAGAGTGATGGCAAATGGGCAAATGATTGTCACATGGGATACTTTGCTTGAAGGCCCTAACAGGGATTTTGGTTACAGAAACACGAACTTCAGTGCTGGAGAGGAGATCCTACATGTCCCATCAATAGCACTGTAACAGCCTGGCTGGGATTGCAAACAGCTCCTGATAAATTTGAGAGTGATCAGAGCTCTCCAATAGTGGATGGACCTTTGGAGATTTGTGTGCCTTTTTGCAGTGGACTGAAAAGAAAATGAACAGCTTCCTACCTGGAACAAGGTAGAACTGCAGATGAGGAAATGGAATTGTTTTACCAAGCACTGAAATTATATTTCTGTATGAATAGTCCTGACAATAAAATTGCCCATTTTTCCAAAACAGAAGCTCTTGCTCTGGAGTGTGAGCATTCCTGGGGTGAAGAGAGGAGGAAAAGACAACCTCATTACTTTTCAGGAATCTGCACAACATAAACCAGGAGAGTCTGGAGATCTAAATTATCTATATGGGCATTCTGCTTCCATAAAGCAACTTCCAGGTAGTCACAAGGCAGGAAACATCTTTCTCTGAGTGCCTTTCTCAGATCATGTAATCGCAGCTGGGCAGAGAAATCTAAACCTAAGGAGGATCATGTTCTTTACAAAGCATAATTGTGGTATGGAAAGACTTGGCATTCCCTTTTTCCTGTATCATTGCTCAGAGGCAATTACCAGTGAGTTCTGTGAAGATCTGACCCAAACAAGAGCCAAGAGAGGCTCTGTGGATGTGGTCCCTCAGCACTGCATGTCCAAACCACTCTTGCTGTGGGGTCTTGCACTGGTAAAGCAGGATCCAAGCTGAAGATGGGGCTCTGTCACACCTTCCCCTCAAAGGTCTCAATTGTAGCCAGACTTGACTGATTTGAATTAAACACTCTGGGTTCATAGTGTTGGTCTTTGTAACTGCTGACACAGAGGCACAGGCAGTTTCAAGGCACTGGCACTGGCCTTTTATCTGACCTTTATTCTGAAGACCATCAATGATCAGAAAAGCATTGTGTCCTTTTGTCTGCTTGACACCAGAAGAAAATCAAGTGATTTCCAGTATTAGGCCATGGCCCCCTGAATGTGATTCCCAGGTTAAAATAGATAAGCAGCTTGAGATACTCAGAGTTCTGCTCTCTAAGTAATTCACTAGAGCTGAAGATATTGCCTTTGATGCTCTTTTGCCCAAATCTTAATATTACAATTTACTATTTTAAGTTTGTTTATAGAGCTGGAATAATATGCAGATAAAAAAGGGATAATTACTAGGGCGTTTTAGGCATTAGAGCTGAGGTTTGGAGTTCCTTTTTCTGAGAAAATAAACCAAGGAATGTTTTACTATCTGAAAACCTGGCAACTGGTCTTTGCTTACCATGAAGTAAAATCAAGCACCACTTTGTTAAAAGCCAGTTTCAGCACAATGATCTAGTTGTTCCTTAAAATAATAAAGAGGCCTGAATCAGCAGGAGATGGTTTTATTCTGTCCTTTGGGTATAAATCAATATATCCAGCTAAATTTTTCCAGCAGACTCTGGCCTTGCAGCCTGGTTCAGAGGTTTTGGGCACATGCACAGTTTGTACATTCAGGCATGTGGTTCTGTAGGAAATGAGTTCTCTACACATCCACAAGCCAGGACAAATCCAGGTGATTTGTTGCAATCCCTTCTGCCCTGAGCTGCCACACCATGGGAAGGAACATTTATCCCTCCACACAGAGATGTTCCAGCATTGGCATCTTTGTATAGGGGTCAAAGGGGGAAGCTGGGCAAAGGAGCTGGAAGCTGGGGGTGTCCTGCCTGCTGGGCTGTCCTGCTGTCCTGCCTGCTGGGCTCTGAGCTCTCACAGCCCAGGAAGGTGCCATGCCACTGGATG